CTCCTTGCCTTCAGATGGCTTTGTGGGAAAACACCTTCTTTCTCTGCTTTGGTAAAATGACAGTATCCACTGTAGGGGTTTGTCCTGCAGAAATTGCACGTGCCTGACGGGTGGTTTGTGCTTCCCCTCAGTGCTCAGACCGTTTGGCTGATCTGTCTTCTGCTGTGAAGCGGTGCCAGTGAGGAGAGGTCTCCGAAGGCGTTTGGCACCAGTGAAGTGCAGCGTCCCAGTGCGTTCCCCTCAGCCAACCTTGCGCTGTGCCTTTTTGTTTTAAAATGCAAACCACATGTAACGTTGCGTGCCTGAACTGCTTTCCACTGCCCAGAGCTTCAGGTTTGTTCTTAGTTTGTTCTTGAACTTCTAATAATTGTGAAAATAAAGGGAGGGTCTGCTTGTATTGTTTATACTAGGAAAGAACAGCGCAAGATTTCATCTACTGCTGTTCAAATCCCTTGCTATTTTTGGTATTTGACCTCTGTGGAGAAGATTGCCAAAACTACAGGTTGTTTTCGTTTTTATTACGTGTTTCTACCCTCCTACTCCTAAGTTACTCTTACATACTGATTAAATCTTTGAGGCAAAGTTCCATTTCTCCCACATTTTCCATCGTATTTTCAGAGCGGTAATTTTGTGTTTCTGTGTGGTGCTGAGCTAACGTTCTCTTTTGGAAATGAGAACTAACTATGCAATTTGGCAGCATCTCGTGTACGCGACTAAAAGGAGAAGGAAAATAACTTATGAATTGCTGGTTTATTTTTTGAAAAACTTTCTGGATTAAAGAGGACTCGTGAGCCTGTTGGCTGGAGTTTAGGATATGGCACGAAGAGTGCAGCAGTGTGTGCTGAGACAATATTAAATGTTTCATTTGTGCGGATGGGTGCTTACCTTTCACTTCCCTGTCGTTGGAAAGGCCTGCTTTTGGCACCCTTGGCTGTTTGCTTCTAGTCTTGCTGTATGGTTGTTTCCACACTCCACTAGTGAGAAATAAACAACAAAGGCCTCTGAAAATCCTCTCCTTCCTCTTTGGCATCCCTTCCACTTCATGCCTTCTGTTCTAAAAATCAAGATTATTTCTTTTTTAAAGGAGCCTTGTAGGATGTGCTGGAGGTCAAAATACGTTAGGTTGTTTCAGAGTACTGTGTTTGTTCTGAGTTCCCAAGATGTAATGAGCTTTGAGTGTCCTTCAAGAGTCTCGTTGGTTTTGGTAGTTGTGACATCAAGGTGTGCAGGGGTTGCACAGAAGTGTGAAGTTAATTCATAGAAAAGATCACATGGATGCAGTTCCAGAGGGCTAGATACAATAACACAGAGGTTTCAGGGTTAATTTGTGAAAGGTGTTTTTACCTTGTTCAGAGGTGCAGATGGGAGATGCAGCCGTTACATAGGAGGAACACTGATCACTGAGGATAGGACTGGGCTTCTGCTTCAAACACAAGCGACTGGCTACAGCCAGGCACCTTCAGCCAGGTACTCGTGTGTCATCCGAGTGGTGGTGTTTTCCTGGCACCTGAGCATCACCTGGATTTTGTCTGTGTTGAGACTGTAGATCCGGACCGTGGGCTACTGGGAGTTGGATTAAGTGAAGAGCCTGAGTTTAATTACCTAACTCACGTTCTAAGCAAAGGAGGTACTTTGGGGAAAGAAGGGGTTTTGGCCAGGGCTATCTCTGCCATTTCTCCTCAGACCAGAACAGTTCAAGAACAAGCTGTCTGTCTTCTACAAAGACTGCACGAGCTGGCAGTTGTGCTGTATCCAAAGTGCGTCAGGTTTCACAGATACTGACTTTGCCAAAGGATTCTTTGTGGCAGGAGCAAAACAGGTACCTGTGATGTTGGAGTTAAGGAGTGCTAAACTAAAAGTGCTTCACTTCTGCCGTGCAGAGCACCGTGTGCTTTGTAGGTGGCTGTGGTCCAGTGCTTGGTTATCTTCTATTGTGTTTGGAAGACCATTGTTTCCTATTTGTCTCATAAATTTAACACAGATCCTATTCCTGCCATTTAAACGTTCCCATCAAAATACAGCAGTGACTTCCCCTTCAGAAAAGGAAGGGCTGGCAGCTACACCCTGAAGTTTGAGCATGAATTGTTTATATAACCTTCAATCACAATTTCGTAATAGTCTGAAGACTTTCTTACTAGGGCAGACATTTTACTGAGTTTTTAGCAAAATCCTGGCTGCCATCAAATGCAATTTTAAGGCTTCTTATTTGTTGCAGTGGAAGTAGAATTGAGAACTGTACCCTCCAGCTTCCTGATAGAAATTGCACATCTATTTGGACACACGAACAGCATTTTCTGTTATTTCAGAATAGCTATACCTATGTCATTCAGGGATAAAAGCTTAAGAGCTATCCTGGACTAATTTTATTTCCCAGAAAATATTATTAAATGCTTTTGCAGACTCTGGCTTTTTACAACTTCTGGGTGCTTGCAGGGTTTCCTCACTCTCTCTTCCCCAGCAGTGAAAGCTCTAACATCAGTGTTGTAGAAACTACTCATTGAATAATATTCTCTATCAAAGTGAAAAAACAACTGCAGCTTGCTTTCCAAACGGATGGCGTTTGTCTGTTTGAGTTCACTGGGCATAAAAATTCTGAGTATTTAGAGCTTGAAATTCAGGTCAATCTGGTAAACTACATTTGTCTTACAAAGAGTTTACAGGGAGAACCCCATTTATTTATTTATTTGTTTGTTTGTGTGTTTATTTTTTTATTTATTGGGTAACCATAGCACTGCAGGATAGCTGGTTTATGAAAACTCCTTTCTCCACCTGCATGCATGTGTCTTTGAAACTGCATTTAAACAGAAGCTTCTGTTGTCATTCATCAGTAAATGGGATTAAGTAAAAGCTGTCCTTATTGGTGATATTAATGTGTTTTATTTCTTAAATTTAAATTGTTAATTTGCACAGAAATTTAATAGTTTTGTGTTTGAGCAGTGCAGCGCGCAGTGTTTGAGAACAGTCCGCTGTGTGTAATAGTTCTAGTAAAAGCTGGTTCCGTTCGAGGACAAGCCAGAAACGCAAGTAAGGAGCAAGCTCTGTGGGTACGGTTGCCAGAAAACATGTTGAACTTCTCCTCTGCAGAGGGGAAAGGAGTTTCCACAGGATGTCTGTGTTTTATGGCAAAAATTACTTGTCAATGTGCTCTGAAGGGTTGCTTTGATGTAGAAGATTAACCTGGGGACCTCATTGTCAGGATAGTACTGAGGCAAATAGCTCAGTGAGATTATTTGTGACTTGGGAATTAAGCTTTTATGAGTGTACCTAGTTAAGCTGTGTTTTCAGAATTTGCTGTTTGTCACATGCTGTCATGAATATTTGTATGTACCAAATAGGAGGAGGGAAAGCAAAACTCTGAAACTACAAACATCGCCAAGAGGGAAAAAAAAAAAGCAGAAAGGAGTTTTGTTGTAGTAACTTTTCCTTTGTTGATGGTCTCTTGTGGACCATTAAAATAATTAACCTAAAACAAGTTATTCGTGGAAACTTGCTCATTCCATCCCTAAAAATCCAGCCTGAAGAATTTGCAGAAAAAATTATGATGGGACAGCTGGGAAGGCTTTAGAGTATTTTCTTACATTCTGGGTCTGCCTAATTTTTAGTCCATACCTGTTTGGACTTTTTCAGAAAGGATCCTTTAATGCATGTGGTAACTAATATTGAGTGCTGGCCTGGTCCTTAAGGAAATAAGAGATTTTTTGAGTTCTCCTTTACCCTTATTTGCATTACCTGAAAGGTCTGAACCCGTGAGAAGTCACTGGAGTGTTGACCCCCTAGAACCTGCTGTGATTCCCTCAGTATTTGTTGTTTTAACACAGAAGAGTAGTCCAATTGAACCTGTAATTTGAACAGAAATCATTCACGTGGATGGTTACTTAACACAGCCCACCTACATCTTTCCTTTAAAAATGGTTGTAGCTTGTGAACGCACTAAAACCATGTATTGTTCATGATGGCAAATACCTCATTTAAGTTTAAATGCTTCACTACTTTCCTGACTCTAACTTGATGAAAGCCTTTATTGCAATTACAGAATTGAATTTTCCTTTTTGTTACAGAAAGCAGAACTCTGGGGTTTTTTTTAGGGCACATCATTTTTTAGAAGTGAATCTGTATGTGAGAGGATTGAGACAATGTTGTTTAATTTTAGTTTTGCTTGGTAAAATTTGAGTTTGTGTGCATCACTGAAATAGTTTGGGTTTCTAGGTGGGTTCAGTAGTGCCAGAGAAGAATTGCCTCTGCAGAGAAGATTTTTATCAGTTGCACCAGTTTTTATAGGAGACTCAAAAAACATTTAGGTTCTTAGGAGAACTGATGAAAAAGCCAAAGTTGCTAACTTCCATTGAATTCCACTGATGTCACGTGGCCTGTTTAGGTGGTCTGTGGTATGCTGACAGGTGCTATGTGCGTCATACTTGTAAAATTTATCTCGTCTGGCTGTTTCAGGCTGTAGTTGTGCATAATTTTGGTCTGTTCTCTGCCTGCCCTTTGCACATCCCTCAGCAGAAAAGTTCACCTACAAAGTCTCGCAGTTGCACTGAAGCAGCAGTCTGTGGGCTGTGCCTCCTAGCAACTTCTTAGAACAAAAACTACTCCTCCTCGGGTGGTAGTGGTGACTTCATTTTCTTTCCACTTGTGGAGAACATCACTTTACTATTTACTTACAAAAAGAAAAAAGCAAATTTAGCCAAGTGACTTTCACAGGATGCACAGACAGACTATTTAACCTTTTACGGGGATTATAGGAAGTAGTGCTCACAGTCACAAGAGGCTGAGCTCCGTGACTCGGGGAGCCCTTTCTGGTTCCCTGTTTCTGTAAGTGAGGTTGTAGCGGACAGGACATCAGGGTAACCAAATTTTGACTTGGTGCATCATCTCTGTGCAAGGTGTCTTTTCACCTGTATTTTTAAAGCTAAAGTTATTTCAGAATGTTATAATTAAAACTCACCTTAGATGTTATTTATTACAGGTTCGTGACGACGTTAGGAACAGCATTGGAGATGACTGCAGTGGAGAGGATTGAGGAGCAGCTTGCTAGTCTGCGCATAGCCAAGCGTTCTACGCTGAGTGAGGAACCTGCGTACGTGCTGGACGTAGACGTTTCCAAACCTGCTCGGTCTGAAAGCAGTCGCTTTGTGGCAGTTTCGTGTTCCAAGAAGTCCATTAGGGTGTACAACAGGGAAACGTTAAACTTCCTGCGGGAGTACAGCAGCAGTCCTGGGATACTTCATGGAGTCAGATTTGCACATGCGTGTGACAGCATCGTGTTTTCAGCAGGTAGTGATGGTACAGTAAAATGTTGGGATATTCGTTTGGCCACTCAGAAGGCTGCGCAGATATTCAGTGGCTACCCTTCCAACGTGTTCATCAGTTTCGACATCAACTGCAGTGATCTCATAATTTGTGCTGGAACAGAAAAAGTCGAAAAGGACACATTTCTGGTGTTTTGGGATGCAAGAGGCATTACAGACTGCACCAGCACAACCAAAGAACCCTTGGGAGTCTATTCTGAAAGTCACAACGATGATGTCACCAAAGTTTGTTTTCATCCTGTCGAACGCAATTTAGTGGTTTCTGGGTCAACGGATGGGTTGGTGAACGTGTTCGACATTAACAAGGATAACGAAGATGATGCTTTGGTATCGACTTGCAACTCAGACTCATCGGTGAGCTGTGTCGGCTGGTCTGGGAGAGGGTATAAACAGGTCTACTGTACAACCCACGATGAGGGCTTTTGCTGGTGGGACATTGCTCAGTTAGACACTGAAGAACCAATAACACTCTCGCGTGTTCTAGATGTCAGAGACACAGGCTGCGGTGAAAACAACAGCTTGCACTACCTGGTAGGTGGTTTGTACCACGAAAAGGCGGATAAACTCTTTCTCATTGGGGGAACGTCCACAGGAAACATTCACCTCCTGGGCTGCAGCAGCGACGGACTAAGCCTGGTGGGTACCCTTGGTGGAGGACACTCTGCCACTGTCCGCTCCTTCTGCTGGAACCTGGCAGATGAGTCTCTGTTGACGGGTGGAGAGGATGCTCAGCTGTTGCTATGGAAACCCGGAGCTGTGGAAAGGTCTCTCTCAAAGAAAGCGTCCATGAAGATTGCTTCTTCCGTGCAGAAGAGAGTAAGAGTTCACAACAGCTCCCTCAAAAGCAGGAAAAAGTAACGTCCCGAAAGCGGGAGTCTCTGCGGTGTAGGGTGTTCCTGGTGCTTAATCTCTCAGGCAATCCTGGCTGTGCTTTATTTGGGGGTGTTCTGTGGAAAGAACTGCGATGCTTGAATTCTACTAGGGAATATAATTTTTCAGTCATCAGATGAATGGCTTTTTTTTTTTTTTTCCCCAAGTTGCTGATATTAATAAGAAAAGAGTAAATGTTTGCTCTCGAGTTCTTGAACAATGGATCCTAAATCATACTACATAAAAATGTATCTGTGGTTGTTTAATGTCTCAGCCAACACTTTTCATGTGTAATGTAGGCCTGTGGCTTGCATAATTTGTTACCTTCCCACTAAAATTCCCTGGCATGCTTTAAAAGCTTTTGTATTTCATAATGTGTTTTGCTTTCTTTACAGAGAACTTAATGAAATGGCCCAATATATTAAAAGATTTTATGTCACATCTTAATGCTTGGGGGAATTACTTCTTGATGAAACAGAAAATAAGTCCTCTTCTGCACCGTCATGTCACTGGTTTATAACAAGCTCATAAAGAAGCAGCTGATAGAGCCGTGTTTTTCATAGCAAAGACAGGAATGTGTTCAACCAAGCAGGAACACAGAATTCCAAGCAGCTAATTCTTAAGTGTGTGAGAATTATTCACCTGGCTTTATTTAGGGCATTTCCTGCATGAAAATACCCAATAATCATAGAATGATTTAGTTGGAAGGGCCCTCAAAGATCATCTAGTTCCACCCCCCCTGCCATGGGCAGGGACACCTTCCACTACACCAGGTTGCCCAAAGCCTCATTCAACCTGGCCTTGAACACTTCCAGGGATGGGGCATCCACAACTTCTCTGGGCAACCTGTTCCAGTGCCTCACCATCCTCAGAATGAGAGTTTCTTCCTTAGATCTAATCTAAATCCCCCCTCTTTCAGTTTAAAGCCATTGCCCCTTGTCCCATCAAAAGTCCCTCTCCAGCTTTCCTGTAGGCCCCCTTTAGGTACTGGAAAGCTGCTATAAGATCACCCCGGAGCCTTCTCTTCTCCAGGCTGAACAGCCCCAACTCTTTCAGCCTGTCTTCATAGCAGAGGTGCTCCACCCCTCGGATCATCTTTGTGGCCCTTCTCTGGACCTGCTCCAGCAGCTCCATATCCTTCTTGTGTTGGGGACTCCAGAGCTGAACACAGTATTCCAGGTGGGGTCTCATGAGAGCTGAGTAGAGGGACAGAATCACCTCCCTCGACCTGCTGGCCACGCTGCTTTGGATGCAGCCCAGGACACGGTTGGCTTTCTGGGCTGCCAGCGCACATTGCCGGCTCATGTTGAGCTTCTCATCCACCAGCACTCCCAAGTCCTTTTCCTCCATGCTGCTCTCAATCCATTCTCCACCCAGCCTGGACTTGTGCATGGGATTGCCCCGACCCATGTGCAGGACCTTGCACTTGGCCTTGAATCTTGCAAGCAACTTCATTCTCTTCTGGAAAGTGCATCTCAGGGGAGTGCACCCGGAGGACTGGGGAGACCTTCAGTGGGTTAAAGAGACTGATGGGTATAATTACACCAGTGGCGCTTAAAATCCCGAATCCTGCATTTGAAATGAGGTAGTACCACATGCTAAGTGGGAATGTGAAAAACCAAAAACGAACTCTGCCTTCTGAGATGGTAGTTACGCAGTAACAGACCAAACGAGGAGACTTCTAACAAAACCTTGTAGAGGTTAATGTGTGTCCTTTCAGACATGTTTCTCTCTGCAGAGAGCTTTTCTGCTCAGACATCTTCCTAGGGCAGCCTTGGTTCAGAATTCCATCAAATATCTGTTAAGTGGTGCAAAATCTGCCCAGTACTTCTGAAACGGTTGAGTCGTCTCCTGCTGCACTGGCAGACCATGGTCTGTGCATCTGGCTCTGCCCACCGTCACCTTCAGCCTTTTGAGCTGAAGTCAAGCGGTGGTTAGTGGTTATGCAGTAGTGGACCTGCGTGGACTGCAACTGGAAACAGCACCGTAGGATTCAGGAGTTGCTATGTTACGGAGTAGTTGGCAAAGGATTTAAGAGGGGTTGGTTTTATTTGTCTGCCTGAGGGAGGACAGGTAATTCTTTCAAAACGAGTTTTGAATGTCAAGTTTAGAGGATTAGTCTGGAGTTCAGGAACTGTTTCCAAAGTACAGCAGATGCCTCTAGTATATGGTTACAGCTGTGCCAAAGATGTCTTAATCGTCTCTGGAAATGAATCCTATTCAACCAGAAGCATCAAGTTCCCACATGATATGTTTTACAAACTGTTCATGTCCTTCAGCCACAACTGTGCATCCGTGGTTGTTTTGTGTCTGCCAGTTGGTGATAATTAAGATGATTCACTTGCTTTTGTTACGGCTGGTTATTTAAAAGTGCAGCTTCAATTTAAAAATCACATTTCTCTCTCTTTTTTTTTTTTTTATTACTTGTGTTAAATTCCAGTTACGCCCAACGTCCTTATCTGTTGTTTTCAAATTACTTTGTGCTCTTCTGAGACAACTTGGGCAGCAAGTGTCACGGCTGTGACACACCAGGACCACGTGCCCTTTCAAGGTTTATTCTCCCAGGTCAGTAGTTGTTGCCTGTTTCTGTGGAATTCACAGTTTTGTAACTGAGTGGACCAAAAGCTTCAGACCCCTCGGAATTCACTGTAACGTCCTCGCAGGCCTGACTTGGTTCAGTACCAGTAGTTCGGGGTGGGGAACTGGAGGGTGATTCTGAGACCTATTTCATTGTAAGGATGACGTATGACTTGCTTTTTAGGTGTTCTGCTGCTCTTTTCCTGGTGTCTTGACACACTAGTGGAATAAGGTCAGCGGACCTGTCTGAGGGTTGTGTGTAAGGGATTTCAGATGGTGGTCTGTGTAGGGCCACGACGGAAGATTACTAACTGGACTCAGCTGTGAGAGAGGGAACTGGGAGGTTTGTTATTTAACAATATAATTACAAACTGAGCTCAGCTGTGAGAACATAACCTTGAAGAAGGGAGCTGGGAGGGTTGTTGTTGAACAACCTGGTGCGATCCCAAAGAAACGCTGTTATCCACCAGAGCACATACTTGGGAGCGTGCAGCAACGCGGGGTCAGTACCTTCCTGTAACTCTGCTGAGGGTGTAAAAGAGGCGTCTCAGGACGGAGAGCGGGGGAAGCTGCAGAGCATGCTGTAGGGGCAGACAGGGGAACCCCCGAAGGTGCTGTGCCTACCGCCCTGCTCTGCTGTGACCCCGCTGATCATCACCCTACTGCTCGGCGGAGTCTCGGGCGGAGTCAGGATGGTAAAACTCATAAAGGGAAAACGATATGCTAGTGACTGCTTCGGGAAGGCTATACCAGAGCAAGAAATATGGTTGTGCTTTTCCATAAAAACGGTGTGTTGGGTAAATTTTATGTGTAGGAATCCCTCGAACCGGTTACATCTTGATTTCTTGAAGAGTTTTGTGTGCTGTTTACAGAAGTGCACGGTGAGGGAGCTTTTGGTCGCCTCCACTTGCTTTCAAGTTGAGCAAGAGTGTGATGTGTTCCACCAAGTGTCTCTGGACGAAAGCAGCAGAGATGGGAGTTCTGGCACTGAAGTGTTGGAAGTATTCAGCCTGTACCTGTTACCTTCTTTTTGAACTAGACTGATACGTGACAAATTGATATCCACCCCAGTTAAAGCCATGCTTTTCCCCGGGAAGCTGGTTTCTCCTTTTTACATACATAACTTAAATAGCAATCGAAGGGGAAGAATGTATGTGTCCATCTACAAATTCTGCAAAAGCACAGCAGCTGTCAGGAGACTCAGGCTTGTGTTGCCTCTGAAAATACTCAATCATTTTCTTTTTCTTTTGTGTTGACTTATTTCAGGCTAATAGCCATAAAATAAACATAGATGCAAGCCACATGTTAACGAGTAATTAGTGTTGCTTACTGTTGTAAACTGCAAACACTATTTCATAGACCGCAGAGCACCGACAGAATGCGTATGCGATCATCTAAATAATAACAGACCTGGAGTTAGGCAGGTTAACTCGTCCGACTGTATTTAGTCTCTTAGGTTAATTTTGATGGCTGTAAGCTGGCTTCAGCATTGTTAAGAAGCACATCTGACCTTTGTAGAACTTATGTAATTGAAACTACGTGTAAGTAGCAGACGTTCAAAAATCGTCACTGCGTCAATTGTTTAACCCCAGGGGAAGCTTTAATTCCAGAAGCTGTTATCAGATTTTTTTTCCAGTAAATGAAAAGCA